TTCTTACACAATCAGTTCTTGTTTAGTAAATCAGTCTGAAAACAAGATCAAAAAATACTTTTTTGGCTGATATAAGATTTTAAAACAGTTTTTACAGTGTAGTTTAATTCAAATATTGTGTTTGTTCCAAATAAATGTATTGATGAATCCTTTCTGTTTTTATTTCCATGAAAGTCTCAACTGTTTAGGGRACATGGGTTGAATTTCGGGGAGTGGGTTCTGTTTTTATGCATTTATTGTAAAAAGCAGAGAGAAGCAAACAGAGCGACTGTAGGATGCAGAGGACCTCATCAGCAGCAGCAGCACACGTCCCGTGCAGCTGCAGCTGCTGCCTTATCAGCGCTGCTGCTGCTGCTGCTGATGCTGAGGAGGATGATGATGATGMTGATGCTGGCGGAGGCTCCTCGGTGGTCGCAGCGCGGATCCAGCTGAGGATTTCAGGATGGAGACGTGAGGCGGTAAAGCTGGAAGCCATGCAGCGGAGGGTTCGGGTGGGAAAAACCCGAGTCCTGATCTGATGTGAGGCTGTAGCCCCCCCCAGCCCCCCGCAGACAGCCTGAGGACCAGACTCCACTGATGCGCTCCTTCTGCTCGGAGGTTTTCTGCAGGTGGTCGCGAGGATTTAACCAAAGTTTGTGTTTGGGATTTACAGAGAAGTGTGTGTGCTGCTGGGGTGGACCAGGAGACGGATGGACCTGTGTGACCACGGGGTATAAAATCTGTGTGACCACGGGGTATAAAATCTGTGTGACCACGGGGTATAAAATCTGTGTGACCACGGGGTAGAAACAGCTGCTCCCCGGGAAACTTTCATTCAGCCGGATGGATCATGAACGCAGCGCACCTTTGGTTTCCGGACGCGCGCTCCTCTCACCGCTTCTCTCGCGCACGTGGCTGTAAAACCTCGTGTTTGTGAGTGGGACTGTCATCCAAGCGGCTTCATGGGGGCTGCGCACGAGCCGTGGACCCCTGCTCGGGCTGGAGGGGACGCTTCCACAGGTGTTTCCTCTGAACAGGTGAGTTCAGCTGCGCGCGTAAAAGTTCAGTGGCCAATGAAGCCCCCCCCCCTGTTAGAGAAGTGTTTTCATTCAAACAGTTACAGCTGTGTAACAAACAACAACACAACTTTGTGTTCATGTTGTGATTAGCAGAAAATCAGAACAAATCTTGAGAAATTTGTGGAAAGGTTTAGCTTTTTGTTGGATAAAATAGAGCAGGGGAGACCGGGGACAGTTGCAACACTTGTTACATTTGACTCTGTTCCTCAGAGATGGTTTGAATCAGACAAACCAAATATTAATACAATAAACTTACTGTCATAGTCTGTATTTGTTCTCCTTGGTTTTCCTAGTGTTTCTATGTTCCCCAGTGTGTCTCYGCCCAGCTGCTCCTTGTCRGTCTGATTGTCACCTTTGTGTTTCTCCTCAGGTGTTTTCTGTTCAGTCATTAGTTGTCAGTGTATTAAAGTCCTGTCCTGTCTCAGTCTTGTGTCGGATCATTGTTGTGTTTTGTTCCTGAGCGTTGTCTCCCTTGTGCCTGTGTTTTTGAGAACCTGTAAGTGATTTTTGAGCTGCTTCAACAGCATTTTCTGTTATTTAATAAATCTTTTTGAACCTGCCTGCGCCCTGGGTCTGTCCCTCCACCARTCCTGATACTTACATCTTYTGTTCATAGTCAAAACCATTTATAGATGATTAAATCATGTACATTCTTCACTGTTTACATTTGAAAATAAAAAAGTCAGATGTTACAACTGACCCCGGGGCCGGGGACAGTTGTAACATTGATAAGGGGTGGTTACAACATATTATTAATACAACATATTTCACTGTAAATAAAAGTTGTATTATTTTACAAGTAGTATATATATATATTATTGCTAAATCCATAAGAACTGTAAGTTATAATGGTATTACAGTGTTATTCAGTGGCGTCACTAGGCCTATTTCAGGGGGGCTGGAGCCCCCATAAAATAT